ACCCACCAGTAGACAATTAAAATCTGCAGTAATCACAGTCAATGTAGAAATGGAAACACTAATCAGATATGACCTGCTTATTTTCCCTTCCATTTAAAGGAAAATATCACTGGATAGAACTGTATGTGTGGTAAGTGGGAGACTTATATGTCCCTAAATTATTGGCTCAGGACCATCTTGGTAAATGACAAGCTTACTAGAAGTTTGCAAGTGGCGTTGCTATTGAGTTGTGAATGTTTTCATCTCTGGCCTCTGAAATGAGGTTACCAGGGTGGTCCCCAGAGGGCAGTCATCCTGGATGCTGTGCGGAAGGACAGGAGGAGGACCACAGGGAGAGTGGGAAGGGCCAAGTGGAGCCACCACTTGGCCATCTCTTTCCCTGGAGGTGACTTCTCTTTAAGACTTTTCTCTTTGAAGTAAAAAGTGCTGAGCTGAGTCTCTACTGGTATTATGTCTGGACATCAAACCCCCCCTCCCCAACCCCTAGCCAGGAGATGGGTGTGCTTGTGCTGATGTGTCTGCCACATGGTGTGGGCATTCTGGCTATTAAGTAGCCCCGTGTTCTCGGAGGCCCAGGGCATTCCCAGAAGGTACCATGTGATTTTAGGCCGTGGAGCTCATGCACCTGCCCACCTTGGCCTGCACTGCCCACTTAGAGACACTCTTAGACAATCTGAAACACAGACTGAGATGTTTTTGTGTGGAGGGGCTGCGAACCTACCAGTGTGTAGACACCTGACGTGGTTTTTAAATAGAAGCCAAACAGAAACTCTTCAAGTATGAGGTAATCAGACTGCAGAGAAACTTGGTTAATAAATCCATCGTGGAGGCCCCTGGTGACTGCAGACTTCCCAGACAGCCACGTATCACATTCCCGTGTCTAATTGCCAATCTCTCTAATCACATCTATTACCACTTTAATGTTAGGCTGTACATGCTTTCAGGAGGAAATGGCTGTCAGTGTCTAAAGAATCGTTGATGGGCCTTGTACTTTATGATGGATAATGTCAGAGAATTACAAGAATGCATAATGCATGGGAGCAGGGAGGTACTCAGGTGCACATGGTGATCATTGCATGTCTCGGGGAGACCCGAATTGTTGCTTTTGTAAAAATGGCCTTCCCGTTAATTATTCTTGGTTCTGGTAAACAATTCGAGCAACCCAAGACTATCCTGGAACAAAATAATTAAAAACATGATACTGCTTTGCTAGTGGATAGTTAATGATTATCTTTTTTTGAGAGAGATCACTTTTTAATTTTTTTCTGACTATAATACATATTCATCATTTAAGCACCTTTAGGGAGTATCAAAATAGAATTTTTAAGAAGTAAAATCATCCACCATCCACTATCTACAGATAAATGCTTTTAACACTTTGTTTTATATCCTTCTAGATGTGTCTCCATTTATATAGGCAAAAATATGACATTAAATATACAACTTTTATATACTTTCTTGACTTACCCTGTCGTAGACTATTTCCTTGTTGGTAAATACATACCTACATGATCATTCGTGATGATCTCAGAGTTTGCATGCTATGCTAACCTCTTATCAGCAGACATTCAGATTACTTTGTGAGATGGTTATCTTGCAAAAAAAAAAAAAAGATGCTTTTCTTTCTTTTTCTTTTTTTTTTTTTTTTTTTCTTTTTTCTTTGCTTTCTACTGGAGTTTTCCTCTTTTAGCTTTTGGAGACATACCTATTTAAAAAAGATGTGCCACCTACCTAGCCAGAGACTCTCCATCATCTCCATCTGCTCTGCCCCTCATGCTTGCGCTTTCTCTCAAATAAATTTTTTTAATTTTTTTTTAAAGATTTTATTTATTTATATGACAGAGATCACAAGTAGGCAGAGAGAGAGGAGGAAGCAGGCTCCCTGCTGAGCAGAGAGCCCGATGCAGGGCTCGATCCCAGGACCCTGGGATCATGACCTAAGCTGAAGTCAGAGGCTTTAACCCACTGAGCCACCCAGGCGCCCCTAATTTATTTATTTTTTAAGATTTTATTTATTTATTTGAGAGAGAGCACATATACAAGCAAGGGAAGTGGCAGGCAGAGGAAGAGGGGGAAGCAGGCGACCCCCCCCGAGCAGGAACCTGATGTAAGGCTCAAGTCCAGGATCCTAGGATTATGACCTGAGCCAAAGGCAGGACATTTAACCGACTGGGCCACCCAGGCAACCCCAAATAAAACTTTTAAAAAAATCTAGTTCTCTAAGAATGATTAGTAAAGATTTTCTGTCATTTTCAAGAACAATTGCATCTTTTGTTTTCAACATTTTTTTGCTTCTGGTTTTTTGTTTTGTTTTGGTTTGGTTTTTTAATTAGAGAGAAAGTATGAGTGGAGGAAGGGGAGAGGGAGAGAGAACCCCAAGCAGACTCCACACCAAGCAAAGAGCCCAGTGTAGGGCTCCGTCTCATGACCCCAAGGTCATGACCTGAGCGGAAATCAAGAGTTGGATGCCCAAATGACTGAGACACCAAGGTGCCCCTTTTTGCTTCCACTTTGTCACGGTATTCATTCTCCTTACCAGAATATTTCTGGAGTGGTCATTGAATGCTTACTTGCCTGGCAATGATGTCCTAATTCTTGGAAATTCTTAAAAGTTGAATTTCTTAAATACATGTGCAAGTGGAAATAGGTCCTACAACTTAAAACAGTTTTTTACCTAGGACTGTTGTGAATTCAGAATAATGTCAGTATTCATTTTCAGATCAGTAAGTTTTCTTTCCTAAAAGCAGTTATTTTGGATTGAGAGTTGATGGCCTAATTAGTCTTGGACCTTTTTTAGCTTCTTGAGGAGCATTTCAGATTGTTTCTAACTAAGAAGCAGGCTTTATAGTCCCTCAGGGCGCCTTGCTCTGCCTAACTCTTTATTCTCTGCCCAAATGCTTTTCTCCACTGCAAATGGAAGATAAAGGCCAGCAGAAAATGCTTTTGTTTCCTTTTATGTTTCTCTCTTTAGAGGTAACTAGAATTTCTTCCCTTGCTCATTTCCATACTTAGATGATGTTTTGGAAAAACTGGAAGGTAGGACTCACTAAGCAACTTGGGGGTTTGTTTGCATAACTGTGGGCCAGCATTTACATGAAAACAGTACAGCTAACATTTACAACATTTACAGCTCACATTTAGTTACAGCTAACTGCACTTACTGCACCCAGACACTGTATGTGGCTGCAGTTTGCTCTTGGAACAACTCTATGAGTTAGATCCTGTGGTGATTTAGGTGACAAGATGGGGTTCAGATTTAATCCCGGTGAGCCTCCTCAAGAGCTTGTCTGTTCTGGTCTTGTTTATCTCCCCGTGTTCAGCAAGTTGTCTTCGGGCCTCGGGTTCTTAATCTTGAAATAAAGGGGGGTTGGAATAGCTAACTGATTTTGAAGGTTTTCTCACCCGCAACTGTTTGAGTCCAGGAACCTGCCTAAAAAAACCACCTCCCTGCTAGAAATCCGCTCACACTGAATGTCTACACTTGCTACCTTTGTCCCTGGCCAACCTCCGTTTTCTCCATGGCAATGCCTCCACTCTAGGACCTGTAGGAGAGCGGCCCTCAGAGTCCCCAGGAGAAGGCCACAGAGGTCCTTGTCACAGAACGCTGGGACACCACGGCTTGCTCAGGGCCAGGCAGCTCCCGTCAGGCCACAGGCCTTGCCAAAGGCGCAGAAAGGGCGAGGACGGACTGCGGCTCTTCTGATCGCTCGTGGCATGAGGGAACCTAACGTGAATGGGTTATAACTTATTCATGACTAGAATCTAAAATAGCTTCTTATAACTAATTCACAGCTACCATGTGAGTGCTAGTGTGCTGTTTTTTCAGATTCTAAAATTATTACCCTGGTTCCACAGGCTTTGTGTTGAGCGAAAAGATAAGTCTGCTTTTGATTGCCCAGGAACAAAGAAGTTTCCCATTTTTAAATGGTGGGACCCTTTCCCATCAAAAATACTCCATTGCTTTAGTCTAAGAAATGTGGTAAAGCACACTTTAAAATATTGCTTCTGGCGTGTCAAGGAGTTGGGGATGAGGTCGTGTTCAAATCAGTGCCGCCGTAGTGATTTTTGATTAATGCGTGTAATTCTTGTGAAGACCTCCACTCGGCAACATAGGAAGCATTAAGCGTTGTAAAATTATCTGAAGCCGGCTGGTAACGCATGAGTTCAGATGTGAAGGAAGAATGGAAGTTCATTAGGCAAGAGGGTGGGAGGTAGTTTGCTGGGAGAATTCCAAATGGAGGGAGCAAGGCATGCAAAGGCCCTGTGTTGAGGGAGGGGTGTGGCAGATGAGGTGGGGGAGGACAACGGTTTCCATGGAGGCCCTCGGGGGGGGCACTAGTGGGGAGGGAGGCTAGGGAGGGCAAGCGGAGCAGGTGGGGCCTCCAGGATGCATCACAGGGATGCACATGGTCAGAGCTGTGTTTGCAGATGAAAATGTAGGCAAGATCTGCGTGTGTGCTCAGGAGGGATGTTGAGGAAAAGGTATGTGTTTAAAAGGGGACGAAAGCGAGTCTGGCTTTTGTTCTTCCCCATCGAAGCACCAGAGCTGCTCTGGGCAGCGGGGCAGAGGTGTGGCCTTTTGACCCCACACAGACTCATTGCTGAGTCAGCCCCAGACCACGACAGGGAGTGTGGCCCTGGCTTTCGGGCTGGGCACCCTCCTAGACCCCAAAGACCAGGACACACATACAATGCTATGTGTGCCCTAATATTTCTCCTCAAGCTAGCTTAGTGGCTTCATAAAGCGTCCTGCTAGGCCCAGAGTGCCCTGCCCTCAGCCGGCTTCCTAGACAACTTTGCTGGTGAGACTTTTTGCCATACTGGCTGGTGAGCGGTGCCCTTCGGTCATTGTCTGTCTAAGCTGGAATGCAGAGAGCCCGTTGATCCTGCCCCGGTGAGCAGTGCACTGTAGGCCGTCACGTTGTCCGGTGCGGCTGGGGGGCACCGTGCTCCCGTGCTGAGCAGCCACCGTGAGGTACCCTGCTTATTCCCCGCGCCAGGTCAGAGCGTTTGAGATGTGATGCAGACGTTTGGAAAAGCATCTGGATTCCTGCATGGAATTGAGACCTCCCCCAGCCTTCAGGATTCTCGCCCACAGAGCCTGAGGATCCAGAGAAGCCGCAAGGCTCAGATGCAGCATTCCCTGATCGATGAGTTCCCTCGTCAGTGGGATATTCCTGTTTCTCCTCAGGGGAGTGTTGCAAGAACAAATGACGTAAGTGATAGGAGAGCACTTGGTGCGTGCACAAGTGGAGATGGCCCATAAGTAAAATTATCGTGTCATCATTTATACATTAATGCCCTGAAAGAGAGGAAAGAACATTACTTGTGAGTTAGGATGAGCATCTGACACGAGCTACTGACAGGCCATTTGTCCTCATGCTGCCGCCCAGCCGCCTCGGCAAGGTCGGGGCCAATATCTCTCCGAGGACCTTCATTAAAAGCATGTTATAGCCAGGAGACGGTGATAACATCCCTCCCCACGCTGGGAGGCGGTCTTGGCCAGGTCTCCAAAACCCCTGTGTAGAATTTGGAACTGCAAGCCTTTGTCAAACATTAATTTTCCCAACGTGAGGAGTGAGTCGCCAATTAACAGAAATTAACTACCTAATGAATTTACCACAGGAAAAACATCCGTGTGTAGCTTAACCTCCAAATCGTGGTCAAGGTAGCCTGTTCAGCGGTCTCCCTTCAGGATGCCATGTCTGCTGCCTCGGCCCGAGAACCCTGGCCGAGCCATGTATGCCGTGGGTGGGGGTCCTGCCCTCTGGCTGCCACCGTGGCCGGGCCCTGGGATGCCAGTCACTTGGAAGCCCGCATCTTTTGCAGCTGAGGACAGCATCTCTGAGAGGAGAGGAGGACAGTGTCCAGGCTGCGCTGCCTTTGGCCAAGCCAATAACTATGAAATTGCTGACAGCTCCCAGCGATGCTTAGAAACAAAATTGGATTGCCTCGAGACAAAAAGCCGCAATACAAAGAACCCACAATTTGTAGCATATGCCCTTTTGACACAGAAAGTGCAGTGTTGTGCAAGCCGTGCTCTGGGAGAGTCGCCCTCCATTACTGGTTGACACACGGTCGAGAGGGGATGAATGCCTTTACTCAAGCTGGATGTATTATTCATGGGTAGTAGACGCCCTGCATTTTTACCTTCATCCATCACACTGACCCTTTTGTGGATGAGTCACGAATGCTCCTTCATGTCTCTGACTCCCAGAGTGTCTTAGAAATTCTGAATTAAGCCTCTCAGGACCACCTTCATTTCTTCCTCCAAATTAGCCACATCTCCCAGCTGTCTCTGTGGTCTAAACGGGAGGCTTCTGTAGCTTCGTTCTTGCCAATTTACTGGAAGGATGAGGTCATGACCGTGATTGCATGTCACAAGAGCTATAAGAAATTGAAAGCATCACTTTCTTTTAAGCTATAGCAACTCCTTGTCATCAGGAAGTCAGTGATATTGTCAGTCTTTTGAGCAGATGGAAGAGAATTGAGTAGCTTGGATACCATTAGGAGACATGACTCGCTTCCTTGGGTGTAAGTGGGCCTGCACTGTCGCTGTGTATCCAACAGCTAGAGGGACCCCTGCCCAGATAGCATCTCCTCACTTGGGCCTATTACGTTAGCATAGAATGCGAAGAAGGGGAGGGCACCAGTCCAGTGAGGTGCCGCAGGGTTGACAACGCCTGTCCTCCTGCTGTCAGGGCCTCAGGTGGAGTCGCCATGGTGCTCCCTTGGACCGCCAAGGTCCCTCTGCACCTTATAGACTCCTAGTCTTTCTGTTCACCTTGTGTTTCTCTCAAAACTGTCTGCCCATGACAATGGGAAGCTTCAAGGGCACGTTCTTATTTCTGTGCTTATTTCTGGTGAACCAATAGATTACAGATTAAGTACAGTTCAAAGTTGCTGATCCACTGAGGCAAGTAGAATGTGAATGCTTCTTTAAATCAGATTTAAATTCGTAACAAGTAAAACGTAGTGCCATGCTATGATTAGAACAGGGTGGCTGCTGAGGTCCTATTTTTACTCCCCTCCTGGCCCCTTCTGGTAGATTATGGGTACATCTCATCTTGTATGACTGGTGCTGGACAAAACTGTTTTGAAATGTTAATGTTCCCCATTTTCTTTGACCAAGGCCTGTCTATAAAGTTACCATCAAGCAGGAAGCCAGAGGGGGCTCCTTCCCACAGGAGCACACCTGCCAGCCCACCCGCGCCCCTTGGCATGTCTGGCGCCTGCATTAAGGTCAGCGTCCCGCTCTTGGACCATGCACTGGCCAGGCAGCATCGGCTCTCCAGAACCCTGGTCCCAGGTGGAAGTTCCTGCCTGGCCCAGGGCCTGGACAGGAGCACCTGCACTTGTAGCAAAGACAAGCCTTCGGGGTAGAAACTGGAAGGCTGCTCACCGCTCCTCATGGAAAATGGGAACTCTGATGGGAACTCGACCCTGGCCTCAGCTGCAGCTTGAAGTTGAGTTAGAGAACTGGGAAATCTCATCTCTGCTCCCTAGAAGCGATCACTGTAATTTGCCTAGCCAGTTCCCTCTTGTTGGATTCTGTTTCTGACTCAATGGCACTGTAAGGACCATGGTCACAGCTACCTCTTTTCACACAAAAGTAAATCTTCTCCTTCGGTCAGTTCCTGGAAGTGGAATTGTGAAGTCAGAGGGATGATACACTCCCAGGCTCTAGACATACTTTGCCAAATTGCACCCCCCCCACCCCGACCTGGATGAGGGGAAGTGGCTAACACTGCCAGCAGTGTCTGGGCTGTGCCCGTCTCCTGCAGGGCATGTCCTTTTGTAGCTCTCTACCTGTTCCTTTTACCCTCCCTCTGTCACAGCCTGTCACACACTGTTTCCTCCTTAACTTTACTTTGGAGTGAGGCCTGTGCCCTGAGGAGATGGCAGGAAGCTTTTCCGTGTAAGTGAAGATGCGTGTCCAGTTATGAACTTTTCTTAGCTCCAGAGCTGGGGTTGCAACTATGTCACTGGCCTTACAAATCACAGTGACTGGTGTCACCCAGTGTGGTGACAGTACCTGGGCATGTGGTCATCTCCAGAGCCATCCACATACTGGAAGCCCTTTGAGAAGTGGTATTCTTCTGGGAGCGCTCTTTGGCATAGCAAATGAGGAAAACTGCACTCTGAGGTTCTGTATTTGCAAGAATAATTTATAAGCAAATAATGCACATTTCGTCCTTTGCCATTTTTCAGTGCTATGCAAGGCGTCTTGAATTTCCTTGGTAGCTTTTCCAGAAAGACCAATTGACCTCACATTTCTCGAATTACAGTAAAGGCAGAGAATCTGAGGCCCTGGGAGAGCAGCTGATGACTGATGACTGAAGCCACCATGGGCAGGGAGGCAGGGTTTGGGGACAGACTCCAGATTTCCATAGTCGCCACACGGCCCTTTCCCAAAGAAAGAGGCCGGACTCCTCTCAGCTCTGTGAAATCCAGCGACTTCCTTCTAGAATTCTCCCTGCCTCTCCCTCCTCCTCCTCGCTTTGGCCAGCTCCCAATCCCATTTTGAGGAAACACTCGCCCCATTGCCCGGGTGCCCAGTTTTCCTGTGAGGAAGCTGTCCGTGTATACTTTGTCAGAGAAATCTTTGGCAATCTAGCAGTTTTGCTCACAGTCTGTTGAAGTCTGTATGGCATGTGCAAAGGCTAGGATTTAGAATCAGGGCACCCAGGTCTGATGTATCCCTTCGGCCTCCAGAGCCAGACCTCACGCTGCCTGCAACCTCCTCAAAGCCAAGGAGGGCAGGTGAAAGGCGGCGCCCTCTTCCGGCCTTCTACCCACAACCCTCATTGTCAGAGACAGCCACCAGGGTCTGTGTTTCCCGCAGGTCATCTGGATGTCAGCATGGCAGCCACAAACCTGGAGAACCAGTTGCACAGTGCCCAGAAGAACCTCCTCTTCCTTCAGCGGGAGCATGCCAGCACCCTTAAGGGGCTGCATGCCGAGATCAGGCGACTGCAGCAACACTGCACAGGTACCTGGGCCCCGCGCGACCCCCCGGAGTAGGGCCCTAGGCCCGCCCAGGGCTGCAGAGCAAAGCAGGACCTGTTGTCGGGACTGAGACAGCGGCCAGCTCAGAAGCTGTGCCAGGCTCACTCGGGAGTGGGGCAAAAAGGGGTTTCACTTCTTTCTGACCTCGTTAAGCCCACCATCACTGGAGTCTCTCTCAATGTCTTCCCTTATCCCCTGCCCAACCGACACGCATCACGGGTCAAGCTGCAAAGCCATTTCTTGGCATACTGAGGGTTTAGAAGATCAAAATGCAATGGTTAGGATTTACAGTGTACTTTGGAACCGATCACCGAAGTGTAACACACAGAGCACGCTGCTTGCTAACTGTGGATGCCAGGGAGTGGCTTAGGGAAGGAGGGTCTCTCTGAGCTCTAGGAAGGACAGTGGCCACTCATGGCTCTGCCATTCACACGCCTGCCACTAACGCGGCCAAATCCTGCTCTGTCTGGGCAGGATTTGCAGGCTAATTGTGGGAATTGGTTCTGCATTTTCAGTGCTGAGGAAGGCTTTACAGAATTAACATATATGGTTTCCTTTTTAGATCTAACATATGAGCTGACACTCAAAAGTTCGGACCAGACAGGTGAGAACTTCCTCCCCAAAAGTGAACGGCGGCATTATTTCTGGTTCTGGCACGTGTTGGTGCCATTTGTTCACCAGCTACACATTTAGATGAAAGTGCATCTGCCAGGAAGTGTTGCACGTGTGACCAGAGCTTTCTAAGAAAAGATAGGAAGGACGTTTAGAGCCTGAGATGTTATGACGGCCTGACAGTGGAGTGGGAGGGAGGAGGGGTTTGTTTTCTTTTGGTGGACACATATATTTGGAATGTCTTTTCTTGACTTTGATTTTTCTCCAGCGAACCTCTTCCTTCTCTAATCAATAAATTAATGTAATTTAAAGCAGAAACAGGAGCAGGAGCAGGATCCCACCTCTTCTGTTCCTTGAGCCTCACCCAGGGCCTGGCACAGAGTAGGTGCTCCCAACACACTTGTTGAGTGAGGGACCAAATGACCAGATCGTCCCCAAAGGACTGTGAATACCTTTCTCTAGACTGCAGTCCCAGAAATGCTTCCCCCTAACCCAAATCCTCAGGGACTCCCGAAGGTATTAGCCTGATGGCAGCTGGGGCAGAGGAGATAGAACAGGGGGCCCCTGTGGCCGATGACAATTAGTTGCTCCCTGGCACCGACTTGGGATTTGAAAAGTGCAGAATCCACACTGGAATCAAGATGTCTTTTCCTAAATAGGCCGCACTCTGGCGGCATCTCCCCTCCCCAGGACTGGGAGTCACTGCTTTACGTTAGTGGAGGCAGAGCCTACATGTCTGGGGGCACAGGGGGAAGATACAGGCTCCTGGACCCCCGCCCCTGGAGGTTCTGATTCCGAGGCTCAGGGAGGGGACCTGAGAATCTGTTTAGAAAGTGCCCTGGTGAGGGCACCTGGCTGGCTCAGTTCAGAGAGCGTGTGACTCTTGCTCTCGCAGTTGTAAGTTCGTGTGCCTTACTGGGTGTAGAGATTACTTTAAAACAGTAAAAGTGAAATAAGAAAAGGAAGTAAAGTGATGCAGTGACTGAGCGCTCTGGCAGCTGGGGAAGTCTGGCTCTGTGTGATTAAGAACAGTTGCCTCAGCTCAGTGCATGTGCATCTTTTATGGGGAAAGACGGAATCTTCGAGAAAGGATGCACGTGTGGAGGAGGAGGTAGAGCAGAGTTTCCTATAGAAGGGTGGAAATCAGTAAAATAGGTGGTGTTGATCCCTGGGAACAACGGTCACCAAGAGCCCCTCTCTGGAGTCTCAGGGAGGCAGGGCAGGCAGCCAGAGGAGCTCCTGGAAAGTCGAGAGCCAACAAGCATCGGTCCATAGCCCTGGCTTCGGAGCCCCGCTTGGCCCACGTGCCCACATGAGACGTGCCCGTAGACACCGGCTCCCAGCCCAGCACGGGCCCCTGAAGCCCAGGGGAGTCCCTGAGCGGCTAACGGTGGGCACACACGGGGAGGCGCAGGCAGGATGAGCAGGGGAACCGTGTGGCAGGGAAGGCAGCAGCCTCCCCTCCTGTCTCCTCCGCAGCTTCAGAGCTGTGTGCTCGGCTACGGACGGAGTCTCTAGCCGTCTTCCCGACCGGTGCTTGCGGCGGAGCGGGCGCTTAGTGAACGCCGCCCAAGCAGGCAGGAACAAACGGGGAGCAGCTCCCGCTAAGTATCCGCCGAGGGCAGCTAGCCTGGGGTTGCCCGCTGTGACCTCAGCACTTGCGAAGCGCGGAGGCATCGCTCTGTGCGGTGAGCCAGGGCACGGGGCGCTGCGGGCGCTCAGCCTGCACCCACTGGGAGAGGGCGGGGCGGTGGGAGCAAGAGGCCCCGGGGAGCGGAGGCCGGCCTAGCCAGAAGGACGCCTGCCTCCGCGCCGGGGGTGCTAAATCCCGCGTCTCGGCTCGCTCTTCCAGGAGATGGGGCTTCCAGAAGCAGCGAGCTGAAGAGGAGATGCGAGGAGCTGGAGGCCCAGCTGAAGCTGCAGGAGGAGGAGAACAACGAGCTGCTCAAGCAGCTGGAGCAGAAGAACGCCGTGATCGCCGTGCTGGAGAACACCGTCAAGGAGCGCGAGAAGAAGTACCTGGAGGAGCTGAAGGTGAAGAGCCACAAGCTGAACATGCTGTCCAGCGAGCTCGAGCAGCGCGCCGGCACCATCGCCTACCTGACCGCCCAGCTGCACGCCGCCAAGCGGAAGCTCCTGAGCGCCGGGGGGGCCTCGGACGGCAGCCCCTCCGGGAGCCCCGTGCTGGCCAGCTACAAGCCGGCCCCCCCCAAGGACAAGCTGCCCGAGACGCCCCGCCGCAGGATGAAAAAGAGCCTCTCAGCCCCCCTGCACCCGGAATTTGAGGAGGTCTACAGATTGGGGGCCGAGAGCCGGAAACTCCTCCTGCGGGAGCCGGTGGATGCCATGCCTGACCCCACCCCGTTCCTGCTGGCCAGGGAGTCCGCCGAGGTCCACCTCATCAAGGAGAGGCCTCTGGTCATCCCCCCCATCGCCTCCGACCGTGGCCCGAGCGAGCAGCACAGCCCGGCCCGCGAGAAGCCACACAAGGCCCACGTGGGGGTGGCCCACCGCATCCACCACGCCGCCCCACCGCAGGCCCAGCCCGAGGTGGAGACGCTGGCGGTCGACCAGGTGAACGGAGGGAAGGTGGTGAGGAAGCACTCAGGGACGGACAGAACTGTGTGAAGCCCGCCCCAGGCGACCCTTCCCCCTCGGCTGTCGACGCACTGTGATCACTACAAGGAAAAACTCATCCATACCTTTTTTTCTTTTAATTCCCATGCATGCCAAATTTTTTTCAGACCTGTCAACAGGGGATTCTTCTCCTGCTCCTCTTGCCCTCTTACACCAAAATACGATCGTGTCCCTGCTGCAGAATACGTATTTACTAATCGCTGTGGCCAAACACCTGTGGGCCGAATCGCTTGCTTCTAACCCCTGTGTACCTCCGCGCTCGTGGACAGAGCACAGGCCACAGGCGCTCTCGCTACTCCACGTTAATGAAGTCGGATAGTCACACGCCTCATACAGCCGGAGCAACACATGCCCACCGACCTTGACCCCTCGCTCCAGTTTCTAGGGCAGCCCCTCCAGAGCAGCCCCCGCTCACTCCCGGAGACCCTGTGACCTCCCGACAAGCCTTTCCCAGGGCGGCCAGATAGCCAAGCAGCTGTAGATGTGTATCTCGGGAACGAAATAAGATGATGATACTTCTCATACCACCACAACCTGAATGTGTGTTCATATTTTTTGTTCGTTTTATCCAAAATGTTCAAGATCCCAACAAACTTTATTTTCTAAACCTACCTCTTTCTGTTTTGTGTCTTTTATTAAACCACCTGAGGGAGGAGCTGGGGGGAGGCTGTGGGAGGGGGAGAAACAGCTGGCCACTCCCCCAGCCCCGCAGCAACTACAGCATTCTTACCCCATGTTCTCTCCCACAGCTCCCGCCCCCGAGAAGGCTCTGTGCTTCCAGGTTCTGGCAGAAACTCCTTGTGCCTATGACTGGCCCCTCTTGCCCTCCAGCAGGCCTGGCCCCCCAGGGTGCGTGAAAGGAAGGGATGCCCAGGAGCCAGGCCCAGATGCTCTAAGTCTGCCCCCAGTCCCACACAGATCCGGCCAGGGTATGGGTAGGAGCTCATGCAGGGATGACATGCCAGCTCAGGAAGTCACCCCTACCTCCACCCAGTAGGTTGGAGAGCTCTGGAAGTGAGCAGGGGTGGCAGCAGGCAACTGTGGCCTTCGCTGGTGGGGTGGCCCAGGAAGGAGACTCTGCCATACCCTGCGCAGCAGCCCGGGACTTTCGCCTAATCACATGTCTCCTCTAAGAAGGGAAACAAAACGACATACCTTAAAATGTTCTCTAGTATTTACTTCTCAAATATGCAGAATCCTTAGAAACAGTTTAACTCTTCAAGTTAAACAAGTTAAACTCAAGAAACATCTTAATTTCTACAGAAAAAGTAAATCAGCTGATTTCAAATCAAAAGAAAATCCCGTGTCTGTCCACCCCCAACCCCTCCAGGCCCTGAGAGCTGACCGCAGACGTGACCACCACTGCCGAATGCCTACATTTCCACCGCCAGCCACGGACGGAGCTGGGTGTGCAGGTTTCTTGGCCCAGAGGGTCAGTCGGAATTCAGGGTGAGGCACACCCCCTGCAGCACCCAGTGAGAAATGTGCTTGGAGGTGAAGAGATCAGCTTCAAACACCAGGCCAACTCCCATGGCGTTCCTTCTCATGGAGGTGGTGTAAACCGGCGTCCGGAAGGTGTTCTGCAAAGGAGAGGCAAGTGAGGGGCACCACAGGAGGGCAGAGGAGCTCAACCCTGGGCTATGGGACACTCCATGTGCGAGCTAATGGTGCAGTGTACACCCCCCCCATCCCGGCTGGCAGCCGAGCACAGGGCTGCTGCCTGGGGACACGCTCAGGAAAAGTGGATCCGGGCTGCGTGAGCCAGGAGGACCCTGCTGCTGCCGCCGCCCTGGGTGTAGGGACTTGCGTCAGGCAGTGCCCACAAGACATGATGGGAAGGGAGGCATTTCTCCCAAAGTTAGGCTGGACCACAGCTCAGAGTGTGAAGCCACGCCACCCGGCAAGTCTCTGCTTACACGCCTGTACACACGTGGGTCTTCCCGTGAAGTGACTCCACAACTCTTGCCCTGGCTCAGGGCTTCCCCCACCCATGAAAGGTTAAAAGGCGAGATCATCTGAACCACCCCAAGCGTGCCCCCCCACCCACCTGCAGTTTGAGGCGATGGGCTTCAATGGGGATGATCTTCAGAATCGGTAGATCGACCACCAGCACCTTGGGTTTGCTCTTGATAAGACATCCTCTTTCTACATCCCAGTCAGCGCCTTCTAGATACAGTCCTGAGACGAAGCATCCTGGAGATACCAGGAAGAGACCGGGATTCACGGGGAGGCGCCAGCAGCTCTCGCGGATGTCCACGGCTCATGCACAGAGACAACCAACCAACTCTCCTTCCCCAGACACAGCCCAGGCCTTCTTCCAAAAGAGGGGACCGTCCTTCCTTGCCTTTGCAGAGCAACAGCCCAAACAGGACACTCTGTAGACCCTACTGAGCCTCCCCCACGGCCTCAGTGAAGAGGACAAGGGGTGGTTGCCTCCCCCAGCAATCTGCTTCAAGGCTCACAGCCCTAGACCGCTGGAACCCCCGGGTTATAAAGACAGGAGCACCAGTCGGTACCACAGCAAGGCCAAGTCCGCCGCCCTGAGCCAGAGGGAGTGGGAGCAGGGATCCAAAGCCCAGCAGAGAAAATGGTGTCTGGGGAGCAGGACACAGCAGACACGCACAGCGGCAGAGAACAGTCACCCAGAGAGTGTGGTGGCCCTGACACCTGCCAGTTCCTCTGAGACCTCGCTGGCCATGTGCTACGGGGATGGTGAGCACCCCTGTGTCTCCACTGTGAAGCCTGTCTCTACGCTTGCTCAAGAGAGCTTTTGTTGCTCACGGTTAAATGTCCTCCGACTCCGGGGACTGCCGGAGCTGGGAAACGGCAGCTCCCTGCCAGAGTCTGCGGCATCACTCACCAGTGTGAAGGGACCTGACCTTGTATTTTAATGGGTCCAACCTCGTCTGACCTGCCTTCTGGTACCCACGCCCCGGTGCCCTCAGGGTTTCCAGGGAAAACTTCAGGTGATCCAGTTCTTTGAAAGACCTAATTCTGACCAAGAAGTCCACTCCCCACAAACGAGCAGGGCGAACAGGGTTCAGGCCCCTCCGGACATCGCCCTAGGCCTCAGTGCTGAAACTGGAAGAGCAGCACATGCAGTCACCCTCAGGTCAAGACGCCGAGAGCGCACACACAGCGCTGCTGTCCGCAGCAGCCTCACTTTCAGACACGGGCTGGCCCCGTCTGGGCCCACACCATGCTTGTTGCTCTGACTCGGGGACGGCTCAGGGAGGAGCCTCCCCAGCAAGCTGGCCGTACCTTGTCCTGCCCGCTCATTCACTTCGTCTGCATCTTGGAACTTGGTCACTTGCGTGAATAGGGTGGAGCGGTCCAGTGGCCAGTTGTTCCTCCGGCAGGTGGCCTGCACCAGGGCCGTGAGGTAGGACTCTGGGATGTGCAGCCCCGAGAGCCACATCACGCTGGGCTCACTCTCGGTGACCTGGAGGGAAGGGAGGGAAGCTGGCAGGAGCCCCGGGGCCACCATCAAGTGCCAGGGCCAGCGCTGACCAGACGTCTGGTTCACGGATAAAAACATGGTTCACCTTGGCAGCAAAAAGATGGGCGTGGGAACAACCGGGAGCCTGCTGGGGAAAACAAGCTGAACTGCCCGATTCCAGAAGGAACAAAGATTTAGATATAAAAGAACAAAGCCACAGAAGTACCAGATCAAACCTCCACTGAATGTTGTCAAGATCTTGGAGTTGGGAATGCAAAACCCAGAGGCCATACAAGAACAGACTGATACATTTGACTAATAAAAATGTAAGACTTTCTTACAGAAAAAAAATGCCATAAGCAAAATCAAAAGACTTTTGGCAAGCTGGAGGAAACCCAATAGTGGCAAGTACAGGGCTAATCTCCCTGATAGACAAAGAGCTCTAAAAGACAGTTTTAAAATGGAGAATTCGATAAAAATGAAATCAAGACACAAAGGTGATTCACAGAAAAAGAAACGAGGTACGCTCGGCCTCACCATAATCAAAGAAATGCACACGCAAACGTATTACTATTTACCTATCAGGGAGAAAAGATCCAAAATATTAAGAGCACACAGTGTTGCCAAGAGGGGAGGGAATGCTCGTGTTCGTTCACTGTGGGTCTCCACTTCTCTAGAAGACCCTCTGACCAGAGCTAGCAGAATGTGAAATGCACAGGCTGGGACCAGCTCTGCCGCTGGAGGGATTGGCCCGTGAAATAACACTCGTGCGTGTAACCACAGACGCAGGTGCCAGAGTACTGCCCATCCTGGCTAAAGAGAGAAGAAACTCAAATGGAACCACCTAAGTGTCCATCAGGGGAAAGGACGTGGACGCACGTGGAACACCTAAAAAACAGAGTCCCCCGAAAAGAGTAAGTTCGATCTAAAGGTACTTGGAAGAACGACGGCCAAGATGGACTTCGAGATGAATAAATCAGATTGTGCATACTAGGCTTCACAGTCTTGAAAACAAAACAAAAAGGAAAAAAAATACAGGTATGCCTGTAGAGTCAAGAGACCATTTCTAGAACACCCAATCAGCTGCGAACAGAAGGTACCACTTCTGTTGAGGAGTTAGAGAGGGGCTGGGGGCTGGAGGTGGTTGGGGGGCGGTCCAGGCTGAACCAACGAAGCAACAGTTGCCGCTTGCTTACCCACGATGTGTACTGGCTGAACCGCCGCAGGAAGTACAGCATCCAGTTCCCGAGGGACTTCAGCGTGTCCGGGGCAAGCTTTCTCCAGATATTAGGGATTTGCCCGAGGAAAAGAGACCTGGCTACGTCATCTAACTCGTTGCTCATTCCAACTTCTCCGGCCAACGCCTGTTTGCAGAATCAAGGGCAGTCAGGGGAGACCGTCAGAAACCTGGGTGGTGCATTGAGGCAGGGGTGTGCCTGTTAGAGACAAGCTCACCCTCTGAAGTTCAGCCAGAGACCTGGACATCCGTACGGCAAGCTTGTTGAAGCGTTCCACCTCTTGCAGAAGGACCACCGACGTGGGGGAGATGCCCACCCCGAGCTGCTTCCTGATCTGGTCCAAGTCAAAGATTTTGGGCATCTTGTTTTCTATGTCCTTGGCAACCTGGCCAATGTAATCATCTCGGCTAATGCCGCTGCTGGATTCCCCTAAAACCAGGACAACTTTTTAGGGAAAGCAACACACCTGAGTATTAGGACTGGGGCATCCTGAGCCTTCTGGTTCTTGGAAAAGCAGCAGCAATTACAACCTACAAGAACCAACAGCACCGTGTGCCAACACCTTCCACCCTAGCC